CTTTTTCTTCTTCTCTAAGCAGAACATACCTCCTGTCCATGAAAATAAATAACTAGCTAACTAAATTTTATATATATATATATATATATATAAAATTCACATTTCTTCCTTTAAAAGTAAAAAATAGTGTTCTGTTTCTTCTCTGGAGGGAACTCATGCACTAGAGGCTGCTGATGTGTCCTTTAAAGACACAGGCAAGCAGTTCTTGTGGCGGTGTTTTTTTCTCCCCCCAGTGTTTCTGTAAATCATCTCACAAGCTGGTCAAAGCCACTGCAGATGTCTCTGTCTCTGGAAAATCTTGTGCCTCAGGAGTGCCAGCAGCATGGGGCGAGCGTCCTCCTAAAGTCAGTGTGGGCTCTGAAAGGGTGTCTGGCCCTTAGATGAGAGATGCCAGACTGCTCCGTTTGTTCCCATCCGCTGGCAAAGAGGCACTGCTGGGCTCAGACAGCTGTCTGATGTTGTCCCAGTTGGTGAGGTCATCTTCTGCCTCTTCACGCCAGGGATGCTGCAGCAGGGAAGTGGCCATCAAGGTTTCAAACTCGAGGGGGTTCTGGTTGGATTTGGTGAGGACCTGCTCCTGTCCCTGGGCACAGCCCACATGCTGCCCCTCTCCTCTCAAGCCCAGGTTGCCTGTCGCAGGGTTGTTCGGGGGTGTGAGCTCCGGATCCTCAAAAAGGGAGAATTCCCCATGGTGGCTGGTGTCAAAGGTGCCTTCCCCGGCCAAGTCCCCTTCCAGTGACCCCAGCTCAGGCTGCTCATCCTGGCTCAGCAAGGCAGAGCTGGACAGCCGAGGCGCCTAAAAAAACTTGCTGGAGCGAGGGCTGCTTGCGCTTGTGCCCTGCTGGGTTGGAGTTCAGGTCACCGATGACTTCTTCAAACTCTTCCAGCAGCTGTTGTGACTCCATGCTGACAGTGAGGATGTTCTTAGATGCGGGAGCTGAAGCAGCTGGGCTGGCGATGCACTGTGCTTCTGGCTGGGCTTTTGACGAAGGCTGGTGGAGCTGCACTGGGGTCGTTCTCTGCTTTTTGGAGGCAACATTCCTGAGCCGGTCGGCATACTGGGGCTCCAGCTTCCAAACCCCACCTTTCCCTGGCTCACCCTTCTCCCGAGACACCCTGATGAAGCGCTTGTTCAAGGCCATGTTGTGCTGGATGGAGTTCTAGACCCAACAGAGAGAAAAAAAACCCCAAGGCTGAATGCTTGTCTGCTGCTGCAGCCACTACCTCTGTGCAGAGCCTGGTGGAAAAGGCCATTTTCAGCAAGGATCTTTGGGAACAAGAAAGCACAAACAACAACGTCAAGCCATCCCGGGCTACCTGCCCAGCAGAAACTCCCCTGCCCCGAGTCACTGCAGACTTTTCTTGCCTCTTGTCTGTTCCAGCCAGAGGTGGCAGAGCCAAGGGCATCCAGGAAGGACTTGACAACCAAGAGGAACTTTGGGGCAACTGTCCTGGGCTGTAACTTGTGACCAGGGGCCTTGGATCACGCAGAGCTCTGGCAGGACCCAGCCAGACTTGCTCCGGGTGTGGAGCTGAGCTGGAGGAGGGCAGCTCCTCCTTCATGGCTGAGGAAGGAGAGGAGGGTCTTTATCCTGCTGTGGCCAGGACCCCGTTACAAGTGGCAACACACGGCAGCACCACAGCAGATGGCATCAGCAGCAGGAGCACAGACAGCCCTGCAAACTATCCAGGCTGTGGTAACTCCAGATTTACAGTTTAACAAAGTTTTACAAGGGTCAGAGACTTGCAAACTAAATTGTCTGCTCCCCACCTGCCCTCCCCATGCCGAACTTCATTCAGCCTGGGCTGCCCTCCATTATCACCCGGTCAGAGAACGTATTTATCAGTCCTGCCTGCAAGAATCCTGTGGCCCCCCTGCATCCCTGTGGAGAGGGATTGGAAAACTTCTTTCTTTTTGGAATACACCCCTTGAATTCAAACCGTGGTGATTCTCCAGCCATGACTTTGCAGGAGAAAGCCAAACTGCTGGCACACAGCTCGTCCTCCCTCCTCGCTGCCCAAGGTCCCCCCAGCACAGTGGGTGCCAGGGGACCCACATGGCCCCGAAGAGGTACCTGGGGGGTTCCCTTCCCCATGATGGGCTTCAAGAGCCACCAGAGACCCACCTGCCTGGGGAGACGGTGAGCAAGGCCTGGGCAGGGGGTTTGCAGTGGTTCTGCCCAGCCCTGCCTGGGTGAGCCCCGGCCGCCGGCATCGTCGGCACACGGCGGATTTGGGCTGGGAATAACCAGAGCGGAGGGATGAGCCACCCGGGTCCCTCCTGCCCTGCTGCATCCCGGAGAGCGTCACGTGCCCGGAGGTGCCCTCGCCTGAGGGAGGAGGGCAGCGAGCCATGGCGGCTGGGAAAAGCCCCCACAGCTGGTGAGCCGGGGGCTGTCCCCTGCCCCCTGGGGACACGCTGCTGCTCGCTGGGGACAGCAGCTTTATGGACTTTTTTGTCAGGGAGGTCGGAGCTATTGGCAAACCAGTCACCGGTCGGAGGTCATGACTGATCCCAACCCGCGTCTCTAAAGAGTCACCCATTCTTTTGAGGTCTGACTGCTCCTTAAGGGAAAGCTGCTCAAGAAGATCAGTATTTTTAAAAACTGTGAGATGCTGAGTAACAAGTAGTTTGCCTTGTATTTATGTCACAGTCTGTGGGATCAAGGGCAGGTGGCCTCCGCAGGACAAAAAGCCACCTGCCTTTTAACAGCCATCCTCGGTGTAGGCAGGCTTTTGACTATTTAGAAACAAATAAAATGCAAGTTAAGTAACAAGGGGTTCTTGGAATGGGGTATCTAAGGCCAGCTCATTTGAAGGACATTATCTAAACTGGTATTTCTATGAATGCTCACGATTCAGACTGTAGAAGTGCACCACTAACCCCCTTTTAAAGCATACAATTAAGTAAGTTTATATTGACCACACACGCAGGTATGGAAATAGGTACTAAGACTACAACATTTAAAAGTACAACAAACATTTGGCTAATTGGGTTTATCACTCTCACAGATAGATGCTTTACTGCTCCCAGTAATAAATTCCATCTGCTCTTTGCTAACTGGCAGTGACCTACCAACCTTTTTCTAACTTGGAGAGTCTGGAATGTAAAAGGAAGATCTAAAGGAGTTGTAATACAATGACATTTCCAATATCTTACTCTTACTGTGCTGAATATGATTACAAATTAGGTGAAAGATTTCTCTTTGCCAGATGCTGTATTTGCAAAGTTAAGTTCTAAGTCAACAAGAACCAGGATAAGTCAGGGCTGAATGCCCAGCGCTGAAATTAATGTGTCTTCCCCATGTATGTTAGTGATACTGGACTAGTAAAATTGTAGCATCAAACTCAAATTTCTTCTCAGTCAAGGAAATGATAAGAACAGCTAATTTGGACCCAGTATGTTACTGAACTGATTTCACGTGTATGCATATAGCATCTCATTTTGTAGACAGCATTGTATTAAATCACAAATGGTTTATATTAATCTAATTAAAAACTCTGTCAGTCAGCTTGATTTTGTCTTTTGCTATTAAAGTAATTATACTTACAGCAGCATTTAGATATCAATTTACATATACTGAGCCCTACGCAACATTAATTTTATTCTCAAATCATAATCAAAGCAAAGAATTACTTTCAATTGACTGACATATGCAAACTCACACAGCTCTGTGGAAATTAAACCAGCAAGCAAAAGCGCTCAAAACCACTTTACAAAATTCTGGTTCTTCCACCTCCCACCATACATTTTGTACAGTCTTTGGTTTTGTTCTTTATTACTAAGGACAAATGCAAGAAAATACAATCTTTCTTCCTTAGACTTCATTACCTTCTACTTTTTCTACACTTAGACAGGAAAACCAAATACCTTTCAAGATTTTGTAATGAGAGCTTGGATGATCTGAAGTTAGTAATGCAACAGAATGTTTTAAGAGGAGCAAAGCATTCCACAACAACATTGTCGAGGTGAAAACCGTTAACACTGAGTTAATGCAAAGACCCAGGCTGGTGCTCATTCTGTTCCCACGGTGTGCAGATAGGACCTCTCTGATTCACAGTGAAATTTCAACCGTGTTGCAAGTGAAAACTGCACAAATTTAAGACAACAGATTGTCCTCCATTTGTTTGTTCAATCAAATGTGGCAGCACAGAACACAAACTCAGACAATGCAAAATAAATGCTGTTGGCTATATTGCCGCTGTTCATCAGCTTATCCTCAAAAGCCCCACACTGCAGCACTCTGGTCCAAGAGCAGACTGCACACTAACTCTTTTTCTTAGCTGTTTACTCACTGTGAGGAGCTTAGGGAAGAAAAACTGACCAGCATTAACTCGTAATCTGGCACAGACGGGTTTCCATCACAAACAGATCGCGCACATAAAAATCCTCTCCCCTGGCAGAACTGGACCTGCCCTGGCTCACTCTGCAGCATGAGACCAGAGGGGCTGGGGAGCCTCCTCCTCCGCAGGACATGGGGGTGACTGCAACAGCAGGAACCAGCACAGCAGATTCTTGAATTTAGATTTCATTTAACACTGCTGATTGCAGAAACAAGCTTAACATATGCATATAATCACTCTGTAATTGGATATAAACATAACAGATTTGCTGACTGTGAAGAATCAATCACTGTGTTAAATGTGCACACAAGGAATGAGATTTTTTCCCCATTATCAGTATGTGCCAGTGTTTCTAATTTGCCGTTGATAGCCCATAATAATCACTAATTGCCATTTAGAATATCAGTCTCATCACAAGACAAGAAATTGGAGAGTTTTATAACATTTGAGTGTCAAAAGCATCTAAAAAACTGAGACTGCTGCACTGATGGCCTCCCTCTACAAGTGATGTAACTGGGCTTCAGACAGTTAACGTGAGACTCAAAAAAGTACTTTCAGGGCAACACCTCAAAGGAAGGATAAGACACACTGTATGTGACAAATGAGCTGGCAAGCATGAGCTGGAAGGCCTAAGAGGCTTCGAGTAACACAGGCTGCAAGATCTAACAGTATCTAGGGAGTGCTGACACTGCACAAGAGCAACTGCGAACAAAACTGTGCCAGTGTGCTCCTACCTGATAAAATAGTGAATGGTCTGCTTTTTGCACTTGCACCCTTTTTGCTTATCCCTGCACTCCAGGCTAAGATCTGATGCTCACTTAGAAGATTATTATAGAAGTAATATTGAATTCTGCTCCAACACAAGATTAAGAAATGCCTCAGGTGTATTTAATAACTCTCTAGTTTATCTAATATTTATTTCACTGTAATTATCCTGATACAGCACATCTACTGTCTTCAAGGAGGATGAATGTGTTTGCAAAATATGTATTAAGGAGATCAACCAATGCAAAAACAGTGCAGTGAGTATTTCCCATTCAGGCTGTCAGGCCAGTATGTCCCCAGCCCCAGCTGTTTAAGGAAGCCGGGAGTTCTCTCCTGGAAGGGTTGAAGTGACACAGTCAACCATACCAAAGTAACTCCCTTGCTATCTAGGCAGAGAGTCCAGGCTTTGAATCTCATTTTCTTGTTGGCATCTGACCCAGCTGGGCAGCTGGTGTCTGTTTAAAGAATTTCAAGCCCATCGCTCCATGCAATGCTGTTGTCTGCCCTGAACCTGGGTCCCTCGGGGGAGGCTGCTGGAAATCCCCGGCTTAGCTGCCTCATTCATTAACTGCATCAGATTTGGGATTTCACACAGACTTACTAAATTAATAAATTCCAGGTGTGGAGCTGGGTGTTCAAAGCACGGAACCTGCACGGACAGAAGCAACATCTAGTCCTCTTGGGCACCTGTGTCTCACAGCACTCTTCTGTGTTCCTCTAGGAAATCACTGCCTGCAAGTTCCTTCACGGAGTTACAAACGCCGAAGCGTTTGGATTCCCACCTCTCAAGCATTTATACCGTGATGGGTCCCTTATATTTGTCTCTCTGAAAACGTTGTAACCACTGAAATGAACTAAAGAAAAACCACAACTGCCATGACAAAAAAAAAAACAAACCACAAAACCAAAAACAAAACAAAACAAAACAATAAGCCAAATTAGCTTTCAACAGACACTGGAGGAAAATGCAAGTGTAACTCTACGTGGAACATTATATTCTGTGGAAATCTCAAAAGTCCTTTGAAGTTGTGCATTTAATAAACACCATATCTGTCTTAGGTTATTTAAATCATGGCAAAGTAGAGCAAACAATTTGTTCCACATATGTAAGTTCCTAGGAATGTTTTCCCACTGACTATTTACAAAGCAATCCTATTCCCCTTAAAATTTAATATATCTGTAAATAACATTGCACCAAAATAAGAGCAGAGCAGTGCACTTCAACCTGCAACAATGCAATCAGTGAGTGGGCAGCTACTGATCGGTGTCATCTTCTCCATTTCAAGTGCTGCACAGGGACACCGACAGCCGAGGAAATGCACTCTCACATGGAAGCACCAGCCACAAACTCATAATTAAAACCATGTATTCATCCTTAGATTCAGATTAAAAGCTGCCTCATGAAAATCTTATTTAAAAGACAGCACATAACTTTAAGTTTCCTTTTAAACATCTAAATTTGTAGTTTGTAATTTGCCTAAAATGACAACTTTCATCTTTGCCAGGTTTTTTCTTATGACATGTAACCTCCTATTTACAATCACAGCAGCAAATGGATATTGCTGAACATGTTTTAACAGTATAATTCCCAGACTAAGGTTTGTCAAGTGGTTGTAGATGCAGAGTGTGGATATTACACGGTGTTTGGTTATTCTTAGGCTTGTCCATCCTACACTTAGAATAACAGAAAGCAGCTTTCTCATTAATCTTTAGCGAATGCAGAACAAATTAACTCCAAGTGTGCCAGCAAACACAGATGCCCAAATCCTAGACCAGCTTTCAGCTGCTCAGTTCCACTTTCCCAGCTGTCAAGCCTGGTGAGCCTCAAACCATAAAGCTGTAAGACCTTGTTGATTTTTTTTTTCCCTACATGACTGTTCTCCGTTTCCTGAAATAACATAAAGAGAAAATGCTACTCTGCATAATATGACCCTGCATATCAATTCTATTAGTTTATTAAACTGCCGTATCTGACATAGGATGTTCCATAGAAAGCCACAGCTCAGTGGTGGTGTTAAGTAATGGACAGGGAAGTATGACTTAAGACAGATTGCAAATATTCAATATCCCCAACTTCAAAAGTGGAAAAAAAAAAAGTTAAAATAAAAACATGCCTCTTAAAATGGTTCTGAAGTTTGACTGTGATCCACAGCCAATACTGTTAAAGAGTGCTACAAATCCTGAAGAAAACATCAGCAAGTAGCAATTCAACAAAAACTGTTGGCAGTAAGGCTCACACTGGCAGA